CTTTTTTTTTTTTTTTTTTTTTTGAGGGGGGGTTGGGTTTGTTGGTTTCACTGAAAATTTTAACTACCTGTAAAATCTAAACATGGCTGTTAGTGTCGCACCAATTCGGGACACAAAGTGGCTAACACTGGAAGTGTGTAGAGAGTTCCAAAGGGGGACTTGCTCACGGCCAGACACGGAATGTAAATTTGCACACCCTTCGAAAAGCTGCCAAGTTGAAAATGGACGCGTAATCGCCTGCTTTGATTCATTGAAAGTGAGTAAATATTATATTCTTTTAAGGATACGCAATGATTGAACAGAGGGGATATGGACCTAGAGTTCACTGAGTTTGGAATTAATGGATTGCTGTGTTCATAGTTTAGTTCTATGGTGTGTTCTTATGGACGATGCTGGGGTTGGGGGACTTTATTGAGAACCAATAGAGCCAAGCCTGGCCAAACTTGTTTGTTATGATTAACGTTATCAGTCCTTTAATGCTATGATTTTTCTTTTTCTAGAGCAGAAAGTGTCAGCTTTTTAGCTGACAGTGTCTGTAATAACAAAGTCAGTGTCTGTCTGTAGGAATAGTAAATGTAGATACGTGTGTGTTAGCATATGCATAGATTATATACAAGGCCATGGCAGGAGCTGAATGAAGATGACTTGATTTTGCTTGTTTCTCAAGGTGCTTGTAATGTTGTAAAAGAATAGCAGATATTAAGTCAGCTATACGTGGATAGATGTTTTGTATTAATATTTTGACATTATGGATTTCCTTTTGATTGTATGAGCATGTTATTTTAAGGCCAGAAGCAATGCATTTTGTGGAAAATATAATTAGAAGTAAGGTTCTGAACTGCTGCTACAGTCCCCTATCTGAGCCATAAACTTTGTTGAATGTGAGTTTTATAAATAAGTAGAAACTCTTAAGTATTATTATTAATGGGATTTTTTTGAACTTCTAAAATTTGAATATGAAGGCACTTAGATTTTTTTTTTTTTTTTTTGGTAACAATCTCAGCTAGAAATATTAAAAGTTAGCACCAGCATACTAAAAAAATCACTTTAGTATATCTAGACATTCAAAAACGTCATTGTGTTTCAGGTATCAGGTTTGACAATGGGTCTTTGAAAAGACAGCATACATGTCTTTATTTTGACATACAAGGTCAAGTCTAGAAATGTGAAGATTCCTGGGTACTCTTGTCTATTTGGTTTTAATTCAATTGCCTTCGAATACTAATGTGCCAATATAATTCCCTCTTTGAACCTTTGAGACGGGGATCTCTGTCATTTCTACATATATAAAGAAATAAAAGTCTCAGTTTTATCCTTTGTTTTGCCAAAAATAAATAGTGCTGTAATCATAATGCTTTCTTTAATAACACAGGGGTGAATGAACTGAAATAGTTAACTCTTAAGTTAATACATAATTCACCCCAATGTTGTGAGTGTACTTAAAGAGTTTAACTATTTCAGTTAATTGCGTTTTTGGTCCAGATTGGGCTGCTCACTTTGCTAAAGTTCTCCAAAGACTCAAGGATATTATCTTCAGAGTAGGGTTAAAAAAGGGAGGTGTTAAGAACAGAGATAATTTATAATATTAGGTTATCCTTAAGAACAACAGAGATAACTTATAATATTAGATTATCCTTAATGTCATAGTCCTAAAGATCAGTAAGCAAAAGCTGTAAATTATCATCGGGCCCCTTTTTCCCCCTTCTGTCCGAAGGCATCATTGAAGGGCACAGTGCTTGGACCTTTGTGAATATGTATTCCTAAATTCACCCCGACTGAATCTAGGTGTAATTAGAAACTGGGATCCATAAAATGAGGGGCAAAGGGCTAATTACACTTGTCGGTAAACAGCTGTGTCCATAAGTAACCCTGTTTTGACCCAATTACTAGTAAATCCAATTTTTAATCCTACAGACAGTGGATGGTGCACTCGTAGCTGCAAAATGAAGGACATTTAACTTGGCTGTGACATTGAGTGGTTTCGCAGAAGACTTGCCTCCACAGCATTTGGAAACATTGTGAAACATTAAAATTCAGTTGCTATTTTTCCATCTCAAAATATATTTTTTTAGTCGCTGCTTACTTGTGGCCGCGGAACAGTCCCCCTTTGAGTAAAACAGCAGCAGCGTTGCTTAAAGACATGCTGTGTGGTTAACTAGATTCAACTGCCACATCAAGGACTTTTTTTTTTTAAAAACAACAAATAATTTGAAGATTTTAAACTTGCTTATGAAATGAACTCACTATAGCAGCTAATCAATGCAGACTTTGTTCTTATTCTTTGCCTTTCTAAGAGAAACCGAAATTTAATTTAGAGCCTAAAACCTGATAAAATATTTTGATACGAACGAGAGGAAGAAAACACAAATGTATTTATGGTGACGCTTCATTCCCAGAACAATAGTTCCTTAAACGTGAGTGAAATAACTATGTCAAGAATTAATTTTAAAGTGTTTGAATAGGTAATCGAATGTTCATGTTTCAAAAATTACATTTTTTTTATATATAGTTCCAACACATGTGATTCTTAACACAGTATTTGGAATCCTACCTTTTATAGAGTAGTCTTCCTGTGTTCAATTTTGTGGCTAAAATAGATCAAAAACATATTTTAAACCAGTTCAAGTAAGCCTGTGACTCATGCTTGAAGTTCTGAAATTTGGGAGCATTATGAGATTTCCATGCCAGTAACTGCTAGATCATTTGTATTGTCTCAGAGAGCAAACGGAAGGGATTGAGAGAACTTGTAATATCCTGACTTCTTTAATAAAATGTGTTCTATGTGTTGCTGTAATCCACAGTCCAGCCTTTTCGGAGTTCTTGAGCCGTGAGATGGAGGTAGCCTGTGTAATCTACTATTTTTAGCAAGTTAAAAAGCAAACCAAATACTCTCTGAGAGGACCCTGTGAAATGGCTGTACCCTTCAGCTGTGCTGTTTCAGACTTTGGCCAGGCTCCCAGGTGACTTACGTTTAGAGCAGACTTTTACTTAGAAGAGGAGAATTTGTTCCATTAAGAACAGAAGTTGAACGGTTCGGAAAAGTAGTTATGTAAAAGAAATCAGTTGGCATATGACTAAAGGCAATGGGAAGACAAATAGCTGATAGTATTTTAGTTGCCTGTTGGTGATGTTAAAGTTTAAGTAATGAACTTAGATTAAATATACTGCATGAAAACAGAATTCTGTACCACAATAAACGTGTTGCTAAGTAAAATGAAAATACATGACAATGAGGAATGAATATATATATATATGAAGTATGTTAGAAGTGGAATGACAACAATATGAAAGAGCTAAAGCTGTAATAATGTGCATTGGTTTATAAATTAAACAATATTTTAAGTACTTAATTTTCTTTTAAACTTGCAGTCTTAATATACAATAGTCTAAGAGTATACTGAAATTTAGAATCAGATTGCTTGCAAACTATAGATTTGAGTGTTTTGGCTGCATCAGAAATCCTGAATATTTGAAAAGTTACATTATTTTATGCCAGAGAGGATTTTTTCCTTATGGCTTCTAAGAGAGATGACAGAATAGAAAAAATTAAAAGAAAAATATCAACACTGCAAGCTGCCGCTAGAACATTACGTATCAGAAATTATTATTTAGTTAGTAGGTAATGGCAAGTTACCTATTTTTTTTCAGTAGCAACCTTTCAACTAAAATGTAGGTAGTTGATGTAAAGAAGCCTACAGAATGTATTTTAATGCGATGCCAAGTTATTTGTGTTATAAAAAAGCTCTCACCACATGAGGACAGAAATAGGCTATTTCTTGTCGGTTCTTTTTTTTCAAGTACCATTCACTTTTCAGGTGCTGGGGCGGGGAGATAGAACCTTTACGTTTATTAGCTCTTTGCTAGAAATTTAGCAAGACTCTTTTATATTTGAAAACTGTAGCCACTTGTTCTCTTATCCCATGAGGCAATTTTGTTTAAGCATTTATTTCACTGTTACACACATTAGTGTATATAGATAGCACAGCCGATCAAATTGATCAGATAGATCAGACCCCACTGCAAGTGGCATAAAATCAAGGGCACTGACTGAGCACATTTAAAGTGTAATTGAAGACCTCGAAGAATATATGAAGTGCAGAAATCAGCTGTTAGAAGACACAAACAAGTGAACGTCCAGGTAGATGGACAACTATAAAGCCAAAGTCAGCGAGGCCAGTCAAGTCCTAGATCCTCCCATAGGACGAGCTTGCGTGCCACCATCATGAAGTGGTCCCCAAGGTTTCTCCAGTTTACTGTTGGAGGACCTCCCCTGTCAGCACACTATCTTCAGTGCAGCAACTGCCCCTTGTGCTGCTCTTTCCAAATCCCCAGCAGAGTCTGATAATCCGGACAGAATGATATCTGCAAGTTTCAGACTAAACATCCAATTTTCAATTACAGCTTGGACCTGGTAGGCTTCTAATTGGAATA